TTGGAGACATCTGGACCTGGTCTCCAGATGCAGGCAATTGATGCAGAGTTTTGCCACATGTTCCAAACAACAAATTCATTTCAAGTGAAAGCAGGATCAAGTATTGAAGATCCTACAACATTTAATGGGTGTATATTTCAGGTCAAGAGAGTGGGAACACATAATAAGCAAACATATATTTTTTTAGATTTTGCCCTTTATTTCAGAGAAACTGGCTCTCTGAGAAAACTACCCTAACCTAAAATGATTAACCTTTGATTTGAGCTCAAAAAATGCAGAGAACTAAGCGGTAACTATTTAAATGCCAAAAAATTACGGAGTTAGGTACGTCACGATTTCATTGAAAAGAGTATGAAAATATGTAGTCACTGGCATTTGAAAATGCATTTTCCACAGTAATACCTAGCTTTGATTTCTAAAGTATCTGAAGTATTTCTCTTGAATCGCTGAAGTGACACAAAATGACAGAACTGAACTTAAATTAAGCAAGAGTAAGTTACAGATTTTTCCATTATTTCCATTTTTATTAATTACCGGAATTAGATTTAATGTCAGCTTCAAGGCTGGTGGGATGAACAGAATCGGGTGAAATATGCTCATTATTCGAAATACCTTCAAAATCTTGAATAAAAACAGTAACGAAAATAAAATTATGTTTTTAACAACTAGTTCCAGGATTTCGTAATGCCAATGAATACTAAGCTTATAGTTTTATATAAATTGATGTTGCACAATGTTAATCCCCTGAATATTTTGCTAATAAAAAAATTCAATACTATCTCATGAAAGCGAGAAGCAAAAATTCTCACCAGTCAAAGTCTGGAAGAGCCAGAAATCGATCCCAGGTTTCTTGTCAGACGGGAAATTCATTTCACTCGTCAAGCATCGCAGGTGTTCAACGGGTTGTGTGGTAACGTGGTAAAAGTTCACTATATGACCCACAGTGTGGACAACTAAAAATAAAAAAGAGACACAAACAATGAAGCATCAGCCGAATTAGTTTCCATCATATTTTGACCGTATCGTTTCGAGCATAAGACGCACAGCATATTCCCCGCGAAAATCGGCCCCACAAAATCAGGGTGTGTCAAATTTTATGGCCCCCTTGATTCTCGTACAAAAGCCACAAAACAAGGAAATTTGTCTAAAAGCCTATTATCTGGGTTCTTGAAATATTTGCTCTTCAAATGCACAAAACTTGAAATCCTGATTTCCGCGGCACCGCGTACATAAAGAATATCAAGTTGGCACAATTGAAGAACAAAAAGAATCGAAAGTCTTCTCTGATACTGAAAAATGTAAACGGAATGAAATACGCGCACTTGCGAGAAAAATAACATCCATTTCCGAGGTTTAATAAATCGAGATGCGTTTGATGTTCAAGTAAATATCCGTCAGCTTCTTTTCCTCCATTTTTGTTACGTACAGTGCTTGTCAAACTTACTGCTGAAGAAGAGTGCCGTGCAAGCGACAATCTTGTGGAACTGGATGTGTGAATCGACAGGGATGAACTGGTGTATGGAAAATTCCTTCAACTTCGTCAACAGATTCCTGCTCATCGTCAACAACAGCATCGAGTAGCCAAACGACAAGGACGCTGCCGAACCTCGAGTAATGGCAATGCCTACGCCCATGATGTGTCGCAAGTCCGTGTGCTCCGACATGAAAGAATAATCTGTCGAACCAAGAAAGATTGTCAGTGCTTTAAAAGCCCCTCATCAGTCATCACATCGCGAAAGACAACACTTGAAGTGATTGAAAAAAATAATACGCATAATAATAATCGCCGGCGAAACGAAACAGGAGGCGAGAATAGTTTCCCCGCGTGAAGTGATCAGTGCGTGGATGGCTTGCAGCTCTGCAAAAATCCCTTTCGCATAAACCTAGCAAGCAAAAAAAAAAAAGCAAGTTTTCCGAATAAAATTGGCAAAAAATCATTCGCTAAACTATCGTAAAATCCATCTCATTTTCTTTCCGACCCGGAATTTTACGACCGACTATGGGCACAGCCAGCGTCAAATCGCGAATATCGACTAGATCTCAGTCCCGCAACGGGAAGGAGTCATGAAGGTTTTTTTTTTTTTAATTCGTTCTACTTACAAATTTTTCTTTTTATAAATCCAATTCTCCAGAGATGAAAGGTGAGTTACAGCCCACGTCCCACTCTCTCATATCTTTAAATAGAAATGGACCAAGTTCAAACGCGACGGATTACAAACGACGTCTGCTGGTCAAACAAAGCGATAATACGCGAATTGGAATGCTTCGAATCCCTTGCGAATAGGCCTCCCGAAACTCTGAAACATTACCTTTCAAGCCTTTCTCACTTTCTCATTATTTTTCTATAGATGCTTATATCGTGGAATTATTGCGCCGCATCTCGCGAATGAGATGAAAAAAATAATGAAGCGTAAAGAAACCCGATAAAAATTAATCAAGTGTTGAGGAACTCCCGGTAACAGGGAGATGCAGCAAATAGGCGTCAAGAAGCTCTCATCCGGAAATTATATTTCTTTCACAGGATACAACGTTGCCTTCGACTGCCTTTTTTTTTTTTTTTTTTTTTTTTTTTTTTTNTTTTTTTTTTTTTTTTTTACCTATCACAGGCCTGTAAAAAAACTGACGATTTCCTTCCCTAGTTCTAATCGATGCCAATCGTAAGAAATATATATAAAAATAGGCTTTCAAATCTGTACCTCATCATCAGTCTCTCTCAAGGCATATTTGTAGAAGGGTGCGTGTTAGATTGCTGTGAGCAAAAATTGCTGATTTGCCTTTTCTGTCGGGATATTATGGAAGATAATTACTCCTGCAGGGTACAGTATAACTCTAGGGAGTCTAGGCTCTAGGCTACCTGTTAGGCACAGATGTCGCCATAAGCGCGACCCCCTCCCATCAGACGCACCTAAAAACCTCCAACCGGGAATTCCACATTGGAATTCCCTGATTACACCATGAACTCGTTCGGCGCTGTTGGTTATCTGTCTGAAAAGTGTTGATTATTTCGTATGTCATTAGAAGTACATGTAATTCTTCCTTTGGAGTCCGTACCGAAGGGCTCCCAGCCGTGTTCCCGGCGGATCATGGGTTTTCTTGATTTAATTCTTCAGTTTTCAGCAACGATTTTCTTTTATTTGTGGCTTGTGTGCCACACTATCCCAGGCTGATTGATTTATTCAAATCATTGATCATTCTATCCTAATCAAGCTCAGTAGTAGCCGCATTACCAGCGCACAAGAGATGCAGCAAAAAAAAAGCAGCCACAGTGGAAACACATATCAATGCATCGAGAAGTCCCGACGATGAACGAACGAAATACATAATAAATAAAACGGGATGATTTTCATCAAGTTTCGTTAACTGAAATTTAGTCGGAGTCTTACAAATGATAAATAAAAAAAGTACAAGACTTCACATTCTCTTCAGCAAGCACACAGAACGCGCAGGAGCGACGTTATTCGTCCCCCGTGGTTAGCCAATTTTCCACCTCGTCACATGCATCATCTCGGCTTGTCTAGTTATCCACAACCAGCCATGAGCACGCCAGGTAGTCCTCATCACGCGATTTTGCACCCCGTCCGCGAGCCCATAAAAATAATCGCGCGCCAGGAGACTCGGAATCATCTCCGCATTCCCAACGAGCCTGAGCCGAAAATACGTAAAGGCTTCACGATTTTTCAAAACTCACGGCATGAATTCAAAAAGCGGGGGGGAAAATGTAAAGATCTATTATTATGTTTTTAATGATATGATTATGCTATGGATGGCTGAGAAGATGTCAGTTCAGCACTTTGAAATGAAGTACTTCGCGCGTCGAGGTCATTTTCTGATGATATAATTCTTCAAATCAACACTTTCTTCGTCCGCGATTTGCTAAAATTTCAGCCCGGACTCGGAAAAATTCTCGTTCTTGCTATGGTATTAAAATAAAACTTTCCCAAATCAATAACTTTTTTGTTCCCACCGAGTGAACATGGTCATCGGATACGGCCACACGGGAGACCGACATAAACAATTATTTTTTTACTTTCACTTGGTAGGACAATAATCACCGGAAACTTTTTGATACTGTATATGCAATCAAGGGAGGTGAACGTTCATTTTCTCACATTGGTGGTCTGCACTGTCAAGTTACTGTTTTTTTTTCATTCCAACCTCGGTAGGCAAAAATTTGAAATAGTGGACAGGAAATTATTTCATCAGCGAAATAATTACATCAAATTTATTCCTTGATTAGATGCACATAACTCGCTAAAAATGCTAGTAAGACGAATAACGCGTGAATCACTATTTATTTCACGAATTTTGTGAATCTATGAAGAGAAAAAATGACAAGGAGCACAGATTCGGCAACAGAATTTTCACCGTTCATCTACAAGCGTTGTGTTCTATCACAACAACATGTGAAATTCTGGATGTGAATTACTGTACATGCTGTAGCTTCTTCCATTGATTGATTATTTTCGACTTCTGATAGCCAACATGACAGGCTTAACGTATTTAAGAAATAAGCATAAGTGAACATTTTTTGCAGAACATCTCAATAAATTGAAGCTGTGTATTTCACGTGTACTGTGCTGGTGTTTCTCACCCTCGCGATGTTTCCCAGAAATACAAGAAGAAAATTGCAG